AGCTTCCACAGCTATGGCTGTCTGGGTTGCAAAATACATATTTACAGGCCCTCTACACCCAGCTAAATATAGGCTTTCTTTTAAAGCAACTGATGATTTGGAGAAATCTTTCCTCTGTCCCACCCCTTCCCTGCCCCCCAACACACACACACACACACACACACACACACACACACACAGTCTCCCTCCTAGATCTCCAAGATGCATCTAAACTCTCCCAGTGGCAGTAGAGTGAAGTGTGGAGGGTGAGTGAAAGAAGAGAAGGGGGGCAGAACAGAGGGGCACAGGCAGCAAGGCAGTCTCCCAGCTGTGGGACACCCCCAAAGATCCCCTCTCCTGCTGGGGCAATGGGGGGGGGGGAAGATAAGGAACCAAAAAGCAGGAATGAAAAACCCTTTGGAAGGTAGAGAAGAGAGGTCACCTTTTCTCCAAAAGATGATTCCAAAGGATTGGGAGGCGCGGCAGGCAGTGGGTGCTGATACTGCAGAATTTCCTATCAGAGAAGGAAACAAGAGGCCCATGTCTGCCCGGGAAGACACATGGACAGAGGCAGACACTGGTCCATTTTCAGCCATACTGCTCCATACACGAGCACATGGACAGACACACTCATCCATGTTCAGAGACACATGCCACCAATGACAGCCAACACCAAGCTCCTACTTCGCACCAGGAGCTATTTTAAATGCTGTATGCATTGCAAACCTATTTAACCCCCATAACCCTAGAAGGTCAGTGTATTATCTCAATTCGATGGTGCGGAATTTGAAGTCCCTTCACTGGGAAGTGGCAGGTTGGGGGGTTCCAATGAAGAGCTGGCTTCAAAGCCCATGCTCCGCTCTGCTCCACACTGAGTGGGGGAGATCCAGGACCCGGATCTCAGGAGACACACTCAACATCCAAATGAAACATTTGGAGACAATAGGGGCTTTGAGAGTAGAAAGGACTAGTTCAAGGTCACTGAGCAAATGGGTAGAGGAGCTAGGACTCAAGTCAGACTTCCGAATCCTCGCCTGGACTCTTTCCTTCAAAACTGGCTCAGTCACTTTTCTCTCCACATCTCAGCCTTCCTCATTCCCCTCGGGACAGGGTCAGCCAAAGGCCATGAAAGGCCCTCCAACACTGACAGCCTGGATTTGAGTTTGGTATATCACGCACGTACACATATACATACACATAACATACACCGATACAGCCTTCTCATAGCAGCCCAAGTCCCTAGCAGAGGAGAACAGATAAAGGAGAGTGATTGTGGCAGGAACCACCAGCTCAACATAAAAGGGCTGAAGGCCAGCCTCTGATCAGATGATCATGGCCAGGGAAACACCACTTTCAGAGGCTGAGTCTCAAGGCCCCAGGGCTGGGAAGGGAAGCCAGCCTTGGCACCCAGCCAGGGCCTGAGCCCAGGGCCTAAGGGTTTGGTACTTATCACAAATGAGATCTCTCCCTGCATCATCACCAGTCTTTACAGTTACACCTAGTGTTTAAAACTAGCAAGCCTCAAGGAACAGATCTGAGGATCCTTATCAGACTTGTCCGTAGGTGGGGGCTTCATCAAGAAGAGAGTAGGGCCCTAACCGGTTTGGCTCAGTGGATAGAGCGTCAGTCTGTGGACTCAAGCGTCCCGGGTTCGATTCCGCCAAGGGCATGTGCCTTGGTTGCGGGCACATCCCCAGTGGGGAGTGTGCATCGATGTTTCTAACTCTCTATCCCTCTCCCTTCCTCTCTGTAAAAAATCAATAAAATATATATATTTTTTTTTAAAAAAGAAGAGAGTAGGGGGTGTATTATCTCTCCCTATAGAAGCCTCCAGCCTTTTCAGCGAGGACTGTGAAAGGCATCACCTTCCTCATACACCCAATCTTCTGTGTTCCAGCCACTCTTCCCTCAGTTTATCCTCTCAGAGCACAGAGAGGCTAAGTGACTTGTCCAAGGTCACACAGCTAGTAGGTGGTGGAGCCAGGATTTGAACTCTTAACAGCTTAGCCCTTGGGTCAACTAGGGGAACCACTCCACCCTTTATTCCAGGGCAAAGGTAAGGAATGAACTTTTATTCAAAGTCCACTAGGCAACTTGGCCATCAAGGCCCCCTCCACAAAGGGCAATGAAAAAAGAAAGAATGGTTAGATTTCCCTGGGGTTCTGAACTGGAGGACACAGGTGAGGACCACAGCCCGAGGAATAAAAATTAGATTTAAATGCTCCAATTTGGCTAGCAACCCTCCCTAAAGTAATCGTCCTCCTCGTCCTTACAGTCCTTACACGTATAATGGGGAGATGTGGCCCGAAAAGTACTGCTCCAGGCAGACGGGGAGGGGATGGAGACACATCTCCCAGGCCAGCAGGCTTGGTGCCTGACTTCAGGGAAGGAAGGAGTGATGGGAAAGCACTTATTGCTCAATAAAAGCTTCTTGGGGAATTCTGGCTGGGGGTGTCACTGAGCTAACCAGGAGCCCATGAAATAATAATCCCACTCATTAGCCTCTGTCATCCAAGCTCTGGGCTGGCTCCACCCTCCTGCATCCCTGAGCCCTTAAAGGGGTTTCACTTTGGAAAGTCTCAAGGCAAGAGAGACCCAAACATTCCAAGAATTCTAGTTCAATCCAAGGTGCTGCTGAAGATGTTGTTGGGGTCCTGGGGTGCCTGGGCCGGCACGCTGGCCCTCGGCTCCTCCTCCCACCCGGAGGAGCCGTCTTTCCCACCTGGCCAGGAGCGTGGGCACAACCCCCTGGGGCTGGGACCAGTTAAGATGACTCACCAACGGGTGTGGGAGATTCTGGGCAGAACACCCTGGGACCTTCGACCTCCTCCAATTCACACAGAGTTTCTGAGGACACTGCCCACACCCCCAAGCCCAGCGAGGTGAGCTTTTCTACTCACTCACTTCCACACTGGGGTTGGGGGGCTGGAGGGGGCTCTGCCAAGCCCCAGACTTGAGCTTAGAAACCCAAGTCCCAAAGCGTGTTCCTGAAAGCAGTCTTTTGAGACGGAGTAGGAGGGAGGGGAGCGGGAGGCTGGCTTCCTCACGCTGCCCTATGCCAGGCCAAAGTGTCAAATTGGGGTGGGGAAAGTTTCCTGGCCAGCTGGGCAAAGAAGAGGCAGGTGGCCTTGGAAAGCCTGAGGTCTGGGTTCATTCCCGGCTCCAGCTCGGGACCCAAATCTTCCTTCTCACTTAGCCCAAGGCTCGCCAGCCTCAGGGTCCAGCCCTGCGGTTCCTGGCCCCTCCCTGTCCCGATATCCAGGGTTCCCAGGCGGCTTCCCACACCCCATCCCCCACGCTCCTGCACACGTGCTAACCGGTTTCCATCCCGCAAAACCCTCGCGCACACACACCTACGGCGCAGGGGCGGAAAGGCTCCCTTTGACAGCCCTTCTAGGCAAGGGGGAGGGGGGGATTGGGAAGAGGAGGAAGAGGATGGAAGGGAAGAGGGCGGGGGAGGAGGCCGCAGGAAGGCCCGAGATGCAGGAAGCAGCTGGGAGTGGGGGGAGGCTTTGTGCCTGAGTTGTTCTCTGGGTCCTAGGCTCCACAATGTTCCTGGTTTTCTGGGATCTGTGGAGTGAAGCAGTGCATCTGGGCCTGTCACGGTTAGAGGGCGGACCTCCTCTCCCAGGCCCTGGAGGCTGGAGGCTGGAGAGGAGTGGAGGGCAACCCCAGGCCCCTTGTTTGCAAGTGGGGAGGGGGTGGTGAGGGTGGGGGGGTGATGTGAGGGAGCATCAAAACATCTTTCTGGCCCTGACCGGTTTGGCTCAGTGGGTAGAGCATCGGCCTTCGGACTGAAAGGTCCCCGGTTCGATTCCGGTCGGGGGGCATGTACCTTGGTTGCGGGCACCTCCTCCAGTGGGAGGTGTGCAGGAGGCAGCTGATCGATATTTTGTTTCTCTCTTATCTATGTTTCTAACTCTCTGTCCCTCTCCCTTCCTCTCTGTAAAAAATCAATAAAATATATTTTTTAAAAACCCCAAAAACATCTTTCTGGGGTGCTAAGACAGGATGCGCAAGTCACTGCCGCCCCCCGGCCTTCCTCCCCGCACACAGTGGCCAGGATCCTTTTAGAGCAGAGACCCGAACCTGGGGAAGCTTTGGCCGGGCCTCCAGCATTGTTCCTCCAAAACGCCTTCCTTTTTGAGAAGTAAGGTGGCCTAGGAGGGGCATGAAGACAGGGCCTGCCCCCTCCCTTCCAGCCTGGGTGCAGAGCAGGCGGGTGACAGGACAACCCTTCAGGCTCCCCCAGGGACAAGGCCCGCTGGCGGGAGGACCATTTCCGTTCTCCAGCCCCTTCCTCCTCCACCACGAGGCCAGCAACACGGGGCCAAGGTTTCACACCTGGAGGGTGGGTGCCCCAGGCTCCCCGTGGGAGCTTGTTAAAATGCAGATTCCTGGGGCAGGCTGCCAAGCTTCCACTTCACCAAGTTTGGGGAGGGACACTCCCCCCCCCCCCATATCTGCATTTTTAAACATTTAGGATCCCAGAGCGGTTTTGAAGCTGATGGCCTTCAACATGCCAGGGAGCTCAAAGGCCTTCAGGGAAATACTCCTTTGCCCCTCCCCACGGATCTCTCTTCACTTGGGGTGGAAAGGGGCGGCCCTGAGACCACTGCGGTTGGGTTGCCTCCCCCCAGTATAGACTGGGGGTGCGGTTCTGTGGGCTGCGATAAGCCGCAGTCAGAGGTGGGGATGGAAGCCTTTAAGCGGACTGGCCTGGGCCTGGGGTCAACGGAAGGCTGTCGGCGTGCGGCCGGCGTGGGATCGGGAGGGGGCGCGTTGGAGTGGAGGGGAAGGGGAGGGCTCACAGGCGCCGGCCCCGGAAATCCGATCCCTCTAGGACCCAGAGGTGCCAGTTCCCCGGCGGCGGCGGCGGCGGCGGCGAGAAGGGCAGCCGCTCGGTCTCCGGCAGCCGCCGCTCGGGCTGAGCCAGAGAAAGACCGAGGCTCGGGGCGCGGGGGGGAGGGAGGGAGGGAGGGTGGCGCGGCGGCGGAACGGCCCGGGCCGGCCGAGCAGCCATGGGCACCGGGGTGCCGGGCCCCCCGAGAGCCAAGGTCCCTGGCCGGGGTGGGGGACACCCGGGCTGCCAGCCCGCTGACACCGCTCGGACGATGTGAGCGGGCGC